TGCTGCTGCTGAAAATAGAGGCAGAGGGGAAGGAAGAAAAACGAGAGAAGAAAACGTAAAGAGGGAAGCACAAAGTAGAAAAATAGAGGAAAAGGACTTTTGGGCGTACTCAAAAAGTTATGGGATTAAATGGTGTCCACATGTTCCACATGGGACCTGTGGGTAATTTCCCCAAAAATAATCTCATATCATGTCAAATTTTTGGATCCTTTAGGCTCAGTTTGGTTAGAATGAAAATGATAGAAAGTGAAAGAAATGAAAAAAAATAATTTTTTGTAAAGTTGTTTAGCATGAAAGTGATAGAAGTTATAAAAAAAAAGGGGGGGGTTTTTTAAGCTCCCTAATAATAACAATTTTCTGCATAAAGGACATTAAAAAATGTAATACTGCCTCAGGTCCCTAACCAATACCCGCGCATTTTATCAATTTCTTGGACCAAAATACCCTACGTCTGTTCATCTTCAGATGAGTTGATTTTTTTGACCTGTCTACTGGATATTCTCCTTTGTAATGCTGGTACTGGTGTTGGGTATTTTCCGGCGAGTACGAAAACAAATTCAGCAAAACAAAAGCACTAAGTTTGGCAAATTTGATTTTCTGGGTAAACAAACAGAATGGAGTGGAGTTGATAGATGTATATATATATATATGATACATACATATATATATATATATATACAATCTGTTGCTTACTGTCTTGACTAGTATATATATGATAATTAATCAATTAAGACCATTTGCAACCATAATCAAACAGTCACTCTTAGTTATCTTATCTATGGTTGCAAACATATATATATATATATATACAATGTCAGCACATATATATATATATATATATTGAGTAGCACCCAACTTGGTGAATCCTTTAATGCATTCTTGAAGGATTTCATTCAGTCTGATCATAACTTAATGCAATTTTTCATGCATTTTGAATTTCTCTGGGTTGAATCCAGAGAAATTCCTGCGGAGTCCAGAATTTCTTTGCTTCCAACTGATGATGGGTTGCTTTCCTTCTAACTGTCATAATTGAACTGCTTTCTGTGCATTTGGGGCTTCTTATTGAAGCTTCTTGTGTTCTTGTTTTTGTAAATTTCTCTGGCTTGTTACATTTGTGTTTCTCTATTGTGTAATTTTATCTGGCATGTTTATGTTTCTTCATTATTTTCTCAAGCAAATTATCTGTGGCTTACTACTCTATTGGTGTGGCTAATTTTCTCTGGCATTTATAATTTTCTCTGGCCAAATTACTTTTCTTACTTGTGTGTCTAATTTTCTCTGGCAGCATTTATAATTTTCTCTGGCCACATTATGTTTATGTCTTGTGTCTAATTTTCTCTGGCATATTTATTTTGTTCAATGCTCCATTTCCTCAAAATTTCTCTGTTGTGTAATTTTCTCTGTCATGTTTATGTTGCTACCTTGTAATTTTCTCTGTATTTTGTTCAATGCTACCTTGTAATTTTCTCTGGGATTTAATGTTTATGTTTTCATTCTATAGAAATGGCAAAGCGTAGAAGCAGCACAACCCCAGAAAACCCCGAAAAAGAAACCAAAATTCTCTGTGTCTGCGTCTTATGATCTTAGATCAAAACGCAGTAGCAGCATCAGAACACCACAAAAAAAACAAGTCCAAGTTGAAGAAGTAATAAGCATCAAGATCAAGACACCAACTTCAAGGGTGATTTTCACTCAACTACAAGCTTAACATTTTCTCTGTCATTTTCATTGGATTATAATAACAAACCTACGATTTTCTCTATACTACAAAGAAAAGTCCAGAAACATGAATAGTGCACACAAAAAAAAATGAAAAGTGCAAAGAAAACATATCAGAAAATTTTGAAAAGTGCAAATATATAAAAACACATAAAAACACAACATATAAGTCCAGAGAAATTTGTAATACTTATCATTTGTAATACAATCATATGATTTTCTCTGGACTACAAAGAAAAGTCCAAAGAAATTTGTGAACTTATATTCACTTTCAATATAACAAAAACAGAAACACATTAACATCAAGAGACAAAAATATATTCAACACAAGCACATAAAAAAATCACAGAGAAGATCTGTTATGTTCACAAAACATTCAATTCAAAAAATTTAAAAAAAAAAAAACACTTACTACTCTATTGCTACGTCTGTAAATTTCTCTGCCTACTTACAATTTTCTCTGTGATTTTCACTGCACTACAAGCTTACAATTTTCTCTGTGATTTGAGTTCAATTATAGTAACAAACCTGCAATTTTCTCTTCACTACACAAAAAATGCAAAGTGAACAAAAAATAGAGCACAAAAACGCAAAAAAACAGAGCACCAAAAAAGCAACTCATAACCATGTTGATAGAGAATGAAAAAGCAACTCCAAAAATCAAAATCAACTCCATCGAAAATTCATCAATAACAGATAATGAAAAATTAACTTCAAAAATCAAAAACAAAAACACTGAGTTCGTCTCTCTCACATTGATCAAAACTAAAAACAAAAACCTAATTCAACACCTACACAATCAAATCAAATCAAAAATTGAAAACTTATCTAATTCAACTCCACATGAAATCAAATCAAACACAATGAACCAGATTTCAACTCCTACACGATCGATCAACACCTACAAACAACGAACATGATTTCAACTCGTACAGGATTTCAACACCTACAAACAACGAACAGGATTTCAACACCTACAAAAACCCTAGAAAATCTCCACAAAAATCTGAATCGTCAAGTTCATCCTCACGTAATCTCCCCATAAAATATCAATATGATCTTTAGCTGCCAAATTCAAAACAACGTATATTATAAACAAGGGTAAGACAGGTATTTTACACTCTAAAATAACATTAAGGGACCTTAGGCTACAAAAGAACACATTGTGGACCTAACCCATTACTAAAAGTTGGATAGGGACCTTAAACCGATTTTTCCTAGATTATACTTACCCAAAAAAAAAGTAGATAGATTATAAGAAAAAATAAATTATCTATTTTTTTTTTATGATACTAAAACTTTAGATATAAAAATAATAATATATTGACACATACAAAAGACCATTTTGATAATATAATATGAAACTTTTTTTTTTTTGTTAATGTAATTTAACCAAAGAAGTGGTGGGATATTTGGTGCAAATTAAATAAGTTGATTATAATTTATTTTTGGATAAATTACAAACACATCTTTTGATATTTACTCAAATTAAAAATTATCTCTATGGTTCTAGAAATTACATTATGCCTCATATGATTTCTAATTTCATAACAAATAGGTCATTTTATTAATAAATCATCAAGTTAATTAACAATTTTTAATAATGTTAAAATTTAATTTCAATTAATAATTCAGATAATTTTATTATTGTATAAGTGAACAATTAGAAATTTTTCTTTTTTTTAATTAATTCTGTTAAATAAAAAATTCTGACAGGGAAGTATTTGTAATTTTTTAAATTACAGAGGATAATTCGTATTTTAAGCAAATCTCAAGAGATGTATTTATAATTTATCCTTTATTTTAATTTGAGAATATGTATCAGGTTATTTGGTATAACTTTCACTCGCGTTTTATTGAGCAAAAAATAACTTAAATAAAATTTTAAAAAATAATTATTTGAAAATTAAAATAAAAGTATTTATTATTGTAATTTTTAACTTATAATATACTCCTTTCATTTCAAAATATTAATCCCTTATTTAATTTTTCATTATCTCAAACTACGAATCCCTTTTCAAAAATCAAATACAAAAATAATATAAATTTCTTATTTTAGTTTTTTGTTTTCTGTGTTTTTTTTTTGAGATGAAGGACCTTGGTACTCTTAACTACTTCTTAGGCCTTGAAGTTTCTCATGATTCTACTGGTTCCTATTTGTCCCAGGCCAAATATGCATCCGATCTTCTGGCTCGAGCTGGTCTTACTGATTGCAAAACTGCCTCTACTCCGGTTGATCCTCAGATTCGTCTCACTCCTCTCGATGGGGCTCTTCTCTCTGATGCTACTCTTTATCGCCAGCTCGTCGGCAGTCTTGTCTATCTCACAGTCACTCGTCCTGACATTGCCTATGCTGTTCACATTGTCAGTCAGTACATGTCGGCTCCTCGCACTCCCCACTATACTGCTCTACTCCGCATCCTTCGCTACCTCAAAGGCACTCTGTTCCATGGTCTTCACTTCTCTGCTTCCTCCTCTCTTGAACTGCGTGCCTTTTCCGATGCTGATTGGGCTGGGGATCCTACGGATCGACGCTCCACCACGGGATTCTGTTTCTTCTTAGGGGATTCTCTTCTTGCTTGGCGTAGCAAAAAACAATCCCTCACTGCCCGCTCTAGCACCGAAGCTGAATACCGAGCTCTTGCTGATACTACTCAGGAACTTCTCTGGCTTCGCTGGCTCCTTGCTGATATGGGTGTTTCTTCTTCTGATCCTACCCCTCTCTATTGTGACAATCAGAGTGCCATTCAGATTGCTCACAATGATGTTTTTCATGATCGCACCAAACATATTGAGATTGATTGTCATTTCATTCGCCAGCATGTTACCTGTGGTACTGTTCGTCTTCTCCCTATCGCTTCCGTCGATCAACCCGCTGATATCTTCACTAAGGCTCATCCTCCTGGCCGCTTCAATGATCTTGTTTCCAAACTCAACTTGGTTGATGCTTTCCCTCCTTCTGTTTGTGGGGGGATATTAGTATATTATTATATGTTAGTATATTATTATTGCTAGTATATTATTATATGTTAGTATTGTTAGTATATCATTATGTTTAGTATATCATTATGTTTAGCTTTAATAATTATATGTCCCCCCTTGCTTTATGCTTTCGGTGCCTCAATTGGCATCCTATGTTGGCCTCTCCTCTCTATAAAGAGAGTGTACATCTCTTTGTAAACAGATACAATAATAGAAACAATTCAGTGTCTCTCTCTCTCTCTCTATCCTCTCTCACAATCTCAAACTAATATTTCACATACATTCACACCTCTCGCTTTGGAACCTTCAATCAAGGTTACCAAAAGCTAGGAAGACAAGGTGAGGGGAAGAAGAAGAAGAAGAAGAAAAAAAAAGGAGATGCATTGTTTAGCATTAGAAGCTACTCATTGACCACCTTCAAGCTACTCAAGTGGGAAACACCAAGGTTAGATTGCTAAATTTCATTGCTTTTTCTCACATGCTTTAAATTTTATTGCATCCTTCAGCTTGGCGGCTCTCTTACTACACATACAATTCATCATTCTCTTAATTAAGAGCTCTTTTCCCTAAATTTAAAATGTTTAAATTTTCGTGCTCTTTTTACTGCATAAGATGTGATGCTGCATTCTTCTTATTTCTACAAATAGATTTTTCTCCCTTTCTTAAAGCCACAGTTAATTGATGGACCATAGGGGGAAGAGAGCTAGTTAATGGACTTTATTCTGTATGTTATTCTCTATGTATGCTTGCATATGTATCTATGTGTTGATGATGCAACTGTAGTTTGAATGCTAACCATTAGTTGATTAATCACTATTTTCATTTATCAATCTCATCAGGTATGAAATTGGGATTTTTCTTTACATGAGGTAAGTATTGTTGTAAATCATCAAATCACATATGTTCTATTATAAAAGGGGTCCATCAAAGCAGAAAAAACAAATGGGAAAATTTGTGGCAGACAGATAGATGCACATGGGAATAGTCATTTGGTGATTTTCGAATACGGGTCACATGGTGTTCCAAGAGTGCCTTACTCGATGTGATTAGTTCAATGATTGAAGAGCACACAAAATTTCTCACCCTCAAAAGTTTAGTTTTGAAAATCATGGCTACAAATTATGTTGGATTAGTAGTTATTAGCATGCTACTATACCAGCAAGAAAAAGAAAATAGTTGAAGGAGATCTTTTTGTAATGCATTGATACAATACCCCATTTTACCATGGTCTTATGTACAAGAGACCCATTCCTTCCTATTCTAATTTTTTTTAAGGCTTAGCAAGTCTCCTATGACAAGTTCATAAAACTTGTTCTCCAATCATATTGGAGAAGCTTTTAGTTTCTAAATCACTTCAAACTGTTAAGTCACCAATTGTCCTAAAACTGAAGTTGTTAGGAAATGGGCTCAACAATGTATATCAAGCTACCCAACATAAACTATGAAGGAAGATCGAAGAAATGAAAGGATGGAAAGTAAAAATTAAAAGGTACTGAGATTTTGGATGATATAACTACAACTTTAACAAATTAAGTTTGGTGAACGCTGGAATTGGAAGTAATTTGGACTTCCGCACTAAACAAATTAATTTGACCATGGGAGCACCTTTGAGACCCCTGGCACTTATTGCTATGATTCGTTGTGTATCAGTTTGTCCATGTTCCCACCATCACTGTAACAGAGAAAATCTTTCTCTTTCACCATTTTTCTTATAAATATTATATTTGGTGAATGCTGGAATTGGAAGTAATTTGGACTTCCACACTAAACAAATTAATTTGACCATGGAAGCACCTTTGAGACCCCTGGCACTTAGTGCTATGATTCGTTGCGTAGCAGTTCATTCATGTTGCCAGCATCACTGTAGCAGAGAAAATCTTTCTCTTTCACCATTTTTCTTATACATATTATTCTGTCTGGCTATCTTATTGTTATGATTGCCAAGCTCGTTGTTTAGTAATAGTTTAGTGCATAATTTCTGAGAGTCACACTTGGAGTTTCTATCATTAGATCGGTCTCATATCTACTCTAATGTATGGCCTAGTAGCCAAAGCTTCTATTTTTTATTTTTATTTTATTTTTTTATTTTTTTTGTTTAGGGGGCATGGGACTCACTTTAGGCTATATTGGAAGACTAAGTCAAAATAAGTGAAATAACAAAAAGCTAAGTGTGCATTTGATATGCCATGAAAATCAAAGTTGCTTCATTTTATCATATATTACTTGTAATTGATGCATCTTGGTGAAGTGTAGACAAGCAAAAATAACAGTCATCTTATCTATTGATGATGAACAATTGATACAAAAGAAAAATCTAGAACTGGTCCTATACAAACTTGTACCAAAAAAAGGGGGGAAAACTATACATACATATTCTTTAATTTCCCTGTTCTGTATTACTAACAAGTAACTTTAATATTGCAAACATGTCTTTATCAAAAAATTTCTTTTGAGAGCCTTAACTTAAGTTCTTTTTTTTTCTTTTTTTTTTTTCAGTGATTGCTCCATCACCTGCAATTACTCTTGGAATTCAGAACTCTCCTTCTATGCAGCATTCAGCGGCATTATTCTTTTTCCTAGGAGGGCTAGTTGTGCTTCTAATATTGCTGATTCTCGTATTTATCTTCTGGAAAATTATCAAACCAGAAAAGCTGAAAAAGTCTGTAGGATGTACTAAAGGGCAGCAGGGTAAAAGTTTTGGTGATGTGTGAGAACTAAGGGAAGCTTTGATGAGCATCATGATTAAAACTTTTGTTATTTTGTTGCAGGTTCAACTGATTTCTTTAGTGGAAATCTTTGAACCATAAGCTATTTTGACTTTCACAAATTAAAGAACGCAACTAAAAATTTTCACCACTGTAATCTTCTTGGAAGAGGTGGTTTTGGTCCTGCTCTCGGGTATTACTGCTTCTAATGAAAACTTTGTCTGGGAATTTCTATTTCTATTTTGTATAATCAGGAAAAATCCTAAAGATAGTGGCAAAACTCTTTGACGACCTCTACCTATATATGTGAAGCGTCAAAATGGAATATTGGAACTAACAATGAATGGGTCGAACAACATTTATCTACAATTTGAGATTAGGGATTATGAGATGCAGGGGATGGGCTAAAATGTTGACTGTGGTAGAGGGATGGGATTTAAGGCAAAAAGAAACTTGATTTAAGGAAGAAAGAACCTTACTATAAGAAACGAATTAGAACTGTAAGAGCTAAGAAGAAAATTTTTTGTGTTCTTAAATTTTAGGAAGACCAAGGACCTCTTAAGCCTATATGTAGGTTGGTTTTGATTAATGTCTTAGTGTAGATGTTGCAAAAAAATTGTTTATATGTGCTGGCCTCCTTTTGTGCGTATTGCACCACCAAATATTCACCACTGACGGATTAAGTCTTCAGAAGGGATCTAATTTCTTTTTATTATGTCAATCATTATATTAATTAATATGTTGCCTCTTGCCCAACAATGTATATCAAGCTATCCGGTTGGTCGCTGTGAAAAAACTATCCCTTGACCAATCCCAGCAGGGAGAATCAGAATTCCTTGCAGAGGTGAGGATGATCACAAGCATACAACATAAGAACCTGGTTCGCCTTATTGGGTGTTGCTCAGATGGAGCTCAGCGGCTACTTGTCTATGAGTACATGAAGAATAGGAGTTTGGACCTCATAGTATATGGTATCACTTATATTTGACTCTGTATGCATACTCTAGTCCTTTTGTTCAGAAAAGAATCTCCTTCTGATTTGTTTTTATTTAATTAATCAGCATTTAATTACGTATGCTCAACAAAGTCCTGTAGATGCAATGATAAGGAAGAGTGATATGATTACTATGAATGGGAATGGGAATGGGAATGTTAGGGGGAGAAGTAGACCTAAACTGACATGGGATGCAAATTTTGGGACACAAGGCTTAGTTTGCTTCGGTTTGGTTAGCGTCTAATTACATGATAGAAGTTATTTGAAGCTTCCAGAAGCTAAAATCACTGGGCCTGTTTGGTATAGCTTCTTGTAAGTTGAAAGTAGATAATCAAAAAATAGAAGCCAAACACACCCCTCCCCAACTTCCAGATAATTAGTTTTTTGAGCTTATTTATTTCTGCCTGATAAGCTATAAGTAGAAGTTACACCAACCAGTCTAACACAAACTCCCAAACTAATAAATAATAATAATAAAAGAAGCTATAAACAGCTCATATAAGCTCCACCAAATATCCCCACTATCCTTCTTGGGATTGTAGCTAGGTCTACATTGTAAGATCTCCAAAATAGAGGGCAAGAAAAAACAATTATTGGATTTTGTCATCTTCAGTAAACTAACTTGGCTACTCGCACATTCATCCCATACCATACCCTTGACTATGCTTTTCTGTGATGGAAATTGATTTTATATTTTTATTTTTATTTTATATTTTTCCTTTTTCACTGTGCACACCGCTTGATGAAGGAACCTTCAAAAGGAAGGAGTCTTCTAAAACTTTTAATGATTTTAATTTAGGTGTGTGCTACTACAATGATAGTCATTTACTTTTTTATTGATTTATAGTATAATATGTGATGAACGAGGCATGGCCAACCTATTTGCAAAGCTAATCACCCAATATAAAAGATGGTGGAATCGACCTTTGTTTTGGAAATGCATAGGTTTTTTTATTTATTTTTATTTTTTATTCTCTAAAACGTATGGGTGTTCATGCTATAGAAATTAACAACTGATTCATGCTGCAAACACTTTTTTCCAGAGCTCTGTCTGAGCTCTTCTTTTGCTTGACACCATATGCAGCTCAATTGCAAACTAACAGAATTTTAATTGATAAGTTTTATAATGACCAGGGTTACTGTGTACTTTTTTAATTTGTCTTTTGGCACAGGAAAGAATGATCAGTTCCTGAACTGGGAAACCCGCTTCCAAATAATTCTCGGTATTGCTCGAGGATTGCAATATCTGCATGAGGATTCACACGTCAGAATCGTTCACAGAGATATCAAAGCTAGCAACATTCTTCTAGATGATAAATTTCAACCAAAGATTGGAGATTTTGGCCTGGCCAGGTTCTTTCCTGAAGACCAGGTTTACTTGATGTAAGAGGGGCTAATTTGAGCCCACTAAATTATTTAGGCCCAATAGCCCAAGATTAGTGGGCCCGAATTTATCGCAAGTCCAAAAATCGGTGGACCCAGATTTATCGCCATCAAACGGATTGAATCGCTCTAAGCCTCGAAAGGGTTCGGATCCACGGATCTTGAACCCTCTCCTACACTTGAGCACTAATTTTGCTGGGAGATTGTAAGTCTATTTCCGATTATAATTTCCCAAGAACATTGCAATCATATTATAATTGCTATAGACCTATGTTACATGGACTCGGGTACGGGTGTCGGGTGCGGGTATGTATCTAGAGGTCGGACTCATCAAATCATAAATTTAAGGATACGCGGACTCGGTAAAAAAATGTCATATTTTTATATTTTTAATCTAATGTGTGAGATAAAATGGTATTATATTTAACTTATAGTGTCAAAATGACATTTATAGCAATTATATAACAATATGTACATATAATAATAGTGTTATATACAATTATATAAGAAGTATCCGTTGAAAAGTATCCGACACATATCTCATACTCTTGTCCGAGTGTCAGGTGTCCGACACGGGTATTTGATTTATTTTGAAGAGTCCATGTAACATAGCTACCATTAAGGCCATTGGGATGGCATTTGGGAGTAAGGATTTTTAGGCAAGCAACTAAAATAAGAAGGAAAAAAAAAGGTTTTAGTATGTAGTTTTAGGGTACCTAATGAGTAGAACTGCCAAAAAAAATAAAATAACAATAACAATAATAATAAAATAAAGGAAAACTTACATGTAGGTCCTAATAGATAGACTTATTGTCCAATAGGTCATATGATAATTAATGGCATTTTTCATCAAACACTATTAAAAAACGTCACTAATTATTAAGTTTCAGTGACAGTTTAAAAATTGTCACAAAAAATGTCACTAATTATAAGTTTTAGCAGTACTTTAAGAAAAATAGTCAAAAAAAATATCACTAATTTTTAACTTTCAGCGACAGTTTGAAAAATTTGTGACAGAAAAATGTCACTAATTGTAAGTTTTAGTGATAATTTATAAAAATCGTGATAAAAAAAATTACTAATTGTCAATTTTTAGCGATATAGGCAAAAAATCGTCACAAAAAATTATTTTTAGCGACGATTTTACTAGAACTTATTTTCAATAGGACTTGATGGGAATTAAGTCCAAATATTAGAACATATTGGTAGTTTACCTTAAAATAAAGGTAGTCTTTTGATACAAAATGGAAAGAGAACAAATATAGCCTTGGTAATGGCTTGTTAACCAAATTACGTTGTTTTTTAATCATAAAAACTAAGGGCTATTTGAACTTAATTTCACAAACTACATGAAAGTGTGTTTACTAAAAATGTTTTGATGAAAATGCTTTTAGCAAACACAATTTCAACTGTTTTGGACTGAGTGAAGTAATAATATCGCATGAATAAAATAATGTATAATTGCAGTTAGAAAGCTCTAATAGTAAGAAAGCTTTCAGTGCAAAAAAAGAAAGTGTCATAAACTGGCTTTTAGTTAAGAACTAAGAAGCATGGGCACTTCTATGAAGGAGTGTCATGTCGGGCACAACACTCCGTGGAAATTACTAAAAGCATGTTTGACACTTCTTTAAAGTGTCTTAGTTACAATTTTAAATTCATAATATCAGATAGTTAACAAACACTCTCAGACATTTCAGCCACACTTCTTCAACCCTCCGAACTAAATTTTTAACTTGTTCAAGGTGTATCGTGTCCTGTGTTTTTGGAAAATTATCGTGTCGACATGTCCATGAAATTTACGAAAGTAGAAGTGTGTTTTCTAAACACACATATATTAGAAAATCCCATTCCCTGCCTTTTTGGTGCAGCCAACAATCCCAAGCACACAACTCACAATTCAGAACACCTTTTTGTGTTCAATTCTCTCCCTCAAGTCTGTATACCAAGGGCACAGTGTGTGCCAGTTTTGCAGCCAACAAGCATCAAATGGACAAAATTGCTTCTCAAATTGGACACGGGGCATACACCTCACAATCCGGACTACCTTTTCCTAGTCTGTTTTCTCACTCAATTCTGTATACTCTGTCTATCTGGCTTTACAGCCAATGGCCATCAAATAGACAAAATTGCCCCTCAAATTGAACACATGGCATATTTACAAAAGGTCAGTTTACAAGTTGTATCTTTGCACCCAACTCACAATTCAGACCATCTTTTCTTGTTGCGTATTCTCCCTCAAATCCTAAACTCAAGGGCACGGTACTTGCCGGTTTTTGGCCAATGGTCGTCAAATGGACAAAACTACCCCTCAAACTGGACATATGGCCTTTTTACAATATTACTTTACAAATCATATCTATGCACACAACAACCATTTCCCATATGCACACAACTCATAGTCGTTCTTTTCTTCTAGTAAAATTAATTAATCATTTTATTTGCATCCTAGAAATTTCTCAAACTAAATTTTGGATGTGTCACTATTTTATTATATGAATAATCTAATTAATTAACTTATTATTAGGAGATATAAATTTATAGTTGAATTTATTAATTAATATATTTAATTCTTTAGTTATACAGTAACGCTAAAATAGAGATGCAAGGGAGAATAAGAAGGTAGAGGAGACAAAAACAAATTTAATATTTTAGTTGAGAAAAACGTGTATGAATAGAAGTGGAAGGAGAGAGGGAGACTCATTGATGAAGAATTCTACTTTTAGTATGCATATTTCTATTATGACTTAATTTAAATAAGGAACTTAATTGGATCACAAAGAAGAGAATGCAGTGGTCCAACCTTTATTGCCCTTGTGATGTAATCATGTACCATTTTAAAAATATGAGATCATCGAGAGTGTCATGTAGGCGCTAAGTAGGAGAGTAAAAGTTTGGGCAAACTATGCCATTTTGTTTTTGTTTTAATTTTTTGTTTTGCTCTTCAGTGAATTATGAACTTTTTTTGGGTGAATAATGAATTATGAACTTTAACAGTATGATTTTTTGAAGTTCCATATGCCTTGTATTTACCTTAGAAATCCACTTGTACCATTTTGCTTCTTTCTCCCCCAGTTCATTCTTCTTAGGCACATAAACAGAAGACAAGATATAAATATGAGAACATTGGAACCGAAAGCATAGGTATTTAGTGCATGATTACATACCTTCACAAAGAACATGAGGGAGATTAGAGTCATTAGTAGCAAGAGTAATGGGTAAATAATTGGGATTATTGGTTTTGTCTGAGGGAAAGACATTCATTTGTTTTTTTCCCTTACACCTCCTACTATTGACATACAAATATTGCTAGGTTCATAGTCTCCTGTGCTAAAATTCTTCCTGTAGTTCAAATTGTAGCATGAACTGAGGCAGCAAAAATTGCAGTTATCTTTCATCATTCCTTCCAAACTCAAGAAATCAACCGTAGATTCTAAGATTTGTTTGGTTTGAGTATTTATTGAGGGAAAGGAAAAGGAAAGGGGGAACAAATGATGAGGATAATTAAGTGAGAGAAGTCAAATTCTTTGCTTTTGATTGGTTAGGCTAAGAAAATGAATTGGTACTATTCAAAATAAAAAATAAAAAATTTGTTTTTTGTTTGGTTACTCGTCAAAAAATGCACAGTATGAGTAATTTCATTTCCCTTTTGTTTTCATTTCTTACAACAAATCCTAAATTCAAACATATCATATTATATACAGCCCCTTGTTTTGTGGATTTGAAAGTATGAAATCTTATGGTTTCTAGAACTTGGGATGATCTTACTTCTGCAGTGATCATGATCAATACACACACAGAACACCACCAAAAGGCCTAATGAGGGTGTATAACAACAAAGTGGAAGATGTTCAAGGGTGCTTTAAAGTAGGACAAATAAGGAAGAGAACAGGAGGGAACTGAGCAAATATGGAATGAGAGAGCTACCCTTACTAGGATTTGTTCCCCTAAATAATGATGGAACTAGTGTTATTGCCTTTGCACTTTTTTATTTTCTTTCTTTCTTGTAATGCTTTTCCTTGTGCTGGAGCATAGGCATTAGCTAAGCTTGTTTTATTAAATAGATAATAACTGATCCTTTATAAGAGTTTCCATAAATGCTGACATCATTGTTTAATCTACAAATTTTAATCATTGTGGAGTGGCAACTTGCATCATTTTACGTGCATATCTCAAATTTTTAATCGTGCATTATCCATCAAAATTTCCAATTCCTTATTTAAAGCTGTATAGTTGGGTTACTGGGAGGGTGGATCCGGATTTGTTTGCTTTTTTGGATTATTTAGATGATTTGATTTGTTAGGTGGCTTCTCCCCTTCTTGGGGCTCCTTTTTTATATTTTTTAGCATCTTCTTGATGCTGTCAGTAATAAATTTTATTTATCAAAAAAAAAAATGATGCCGCCTTTAATCATTTACTTCTTTTTTCCAGGGGCTATACAGCACCTGAATATGCCATTAGAGGAGAATTGTCTGAAAAAGCTGACATATATAGCTTTGGAGTTCTGGTGCTAGAGATTATTAGTTGTCGAAAAAACACTGATCTTAACTTACCATCAGAAATGCAATACCTCCCCGAATATGTAGGGTCATTACCTTGCCATTTCTGCAATTATCATATCTGTATTTTATTGGTATTTATTAGTTGATTGATTATGTATAATAATATAAATCCATACATAAACAAAAGTTGACACATGATGAATATTCATAATGTTGTTCCATTCATAACAATACATAAATAAAAATTCATAACAATAAAAATTATACCACTACATAATATCGCATAATACATACATAATGTTGTTCACAAATTTAAATAACATAAATCAAAATCAAATTTGCAACATGAACTACTTCAATTTGAACTACAATCTCTCTCTCTCTCTCTCTCTCTCTCTCCAAGTAAAACATCCACCAGAAACCGAATAACAAGAAAATTCAGGAGGCAAGAAACTATTCTCCATAACTTTTAGGTGAGCTCACAAAACTCCTGGCAGCATCTAAACTCATTTCTTCATACACCTACATGAGTCATTATTTTATATAGATAAATAATAACAAATAAAAAAAAGTCCAATCAGGAAAGTAAAATAATAGCGTTTAATGGAGGACAAATTTTATGATTCTTCGATAGTAGAATATGCATACAAGTTTCTTGTGAATGCTTCGAAAAGCCTTGCAAAATTGTTCTGCCTTTGCTGCACCCACCTGTAACATGTGCACCAAAAGTTAGTTGTTATGCCCATTTTGTGTTAATATTTTCTTTTGCTATTTTCTGGCAAGACCTCAATTAAGAGCATGCCCAATCTCGGGTTTTATTATTGTATTTGGACACCTGGCTAATGCCAGCCCAATATCAAATAACCTCACATCCACTATAAGTAAACTTTGGGGAATATGAGCTTGCCACATGAATGAATCCCCAAAAATCCCTTCTGTCAGATCTCTATCCCTTGTTAGCTTAATAAGATAAAACTTTTACAAACCTCATATTAATAATAACAGAAGCTAAAATGGCAACTAACTTAGGGCTAGGCCATGAGCAGGCCCAAGCATGATCTGAACTTAGGTTTGGGATTAATGTGAAACAAAGTGTAGCACAATTTGCAAGACGATATGTCATTGTGCCATTTAATGCTTATACTTTTTCCAAGACGACATGTTCCGCTAAATCAAAGACCAAAATGCACTATCACTTCTCAACCCATGCCCTTTTCGGTTGTCTTCTTATTCATGTTACACCTTAGTTCTACCACATCCCCACCATCAAATTTATTGGTCTTGAATGCCGATAAGCAAATCATCCCAAATCAAGCATTCTTTCATTATGTTAAAAACCCACCCACTCAAAATGGTTTCATTTCTACTTTTATAGTTGTCTCAACAGTCCTCCATCTCAAATTCCCCTCCTTAAACAGGATCAATTTGTGAAAATGTTTTCTGACTACCTAACATGATATCAAATAGAATAACCTGGCATGTAGATAAATTAAATAAAAAAAAGACCCAACTAAAAGGGTGTTTCGTATAGATGCTATATCTATATAGGCAGTATCTATTCACTCTCATTACGAATAATCAACCCATACATCGAAAACAATCATTATAATTTAGCTATGTTGGTTGATTGTCTTATTCGATATTCATTATGAATATTAAATATGCTATTACGATTTGTTGAGTAAACATATCTCCAAAGAGATGAAAAATATGAAATGGAAACTCTAACCAGAAAATTGAAGCAATAATAGTATCATCGAAAAATTATATGCTAGTTCTCCTGAGATAAGAATGCAAATTTCATATAGAATGCTTATGTTCCACGCTAAAAGTATAATGAAATGTGGTTGTCAAGGAGAGTTAACTTCAAAGCAAAAAAAAAAAAGATTGCTATTTATAATTTCCATGCACACAGTGATCACACATTAAAATTAATTACTGTGCTGTGAGTATATTTATTATGTTCATAAAGTATGACCACCACAAGCATTCTTACCTTCTTTTCTGCAGCCATCTTTAATTTCGCCCAAAATGAGAGTTATTGAAGAGTCTTTCAATATAGTAAAAAACTCATGGCCATAATAATACTAACCCTCCATACATCTTTGACGAGTATGAAGACAAAGATCCATAGCCATTGTCTCCCATCTATCAAAAAGAGAAACAACCACTCAAATAAGAACCACAAGAACAGGGGTGGTGTTAAAAAATTAATTAAGTGGACAAAACAGTGAAAAAATTAAATAATAAAATGCTGACATAAACACCAATGCAGGAAAAAGAGCAGACAATAAATTTATTTAGCACATAAATTTCAGTAGATGCCAAACAGCTTTTCAAATTAAAAACTTCAACTTTTAAAGTTTTCAGTAGTTAATTTTCAGTTTTAGGAAACAATGCCTAAGTAAAAAAATTAAAACAATATAGAAAAATAAGCAAGCACATTGCCATAAATGTACCAAAGAAAACTTGTAACTAGAAAAAAAAAATGAATAACAAGATCTAAAAATATCAAATGACCATAACACCAAGGAAATAACAAAGAAATTAAATGGCACAGCACTCTTACAATTAACTCCTCTGAAATTGCAAACAATGCTCTCTTCCTTTGTAGTTTGTATTGACATTTATTCATTGGTAATGGCAAAATTTACATCACAGTAAACAATTACCCATACAAAAAAATAAATCCAGGCTACCAAAAAACCAAAATATATATATATATATATGGTTCTTCAGATACTATAACATCTGGCCGCATTACAAGCACATTAAACAAAACAAGAATTCTTGAGAGAAACAGAAAGAAAACTGTGAGAAGACAACAGTTTCAGACAAACAAGGTTACAACACATTAAAAAATTTTAAAAAAATAAAAAGATAAAAAAAAAATCTAGCAAATAGTTTATTGGATACAAATCCAAAGAGCGAAGAGTCTTTCAATAAACAAAAAATACAAATTATAAGAACTTATTATAAACCTAATTCGCGAACGCTGATATACTGTTGGAAAACCTAGAAAACGATCGTACCTGCAGATGAGAGAATCCAATTGAACAAAAACCCTTGGCGAAGGGAACACAAAGATGCAAAACAAGAGAGTGAGACTGATGAGATGAGAGAGTGAGGGAGATAGATCAGATCAGAGAGATATCTGATATACATATATATAAAACAAAAAAAAAAATGATCGGGGCGAGAGAGAGAGACAGAGACAGAGATTGAGAGAGAGAGTTTACCTGTGAGTAGATCGACGGTGCAACGATCGGTGCGATGAGATGAACAACGAGATAGTCAGAGAGTGATCGATGCAGATATGAAGAACAACGAAACGAGAGAGTGAAAGAGAGAGAGAGATATTTGGTAGAAATTATGGATTTTGGTTCTAAGAGATTGGGGACTTTGGGGGGCGCGGGAATGGAAAAAAATGGGGGAACCGAGCGGGCAGGATTGGGAAAAATAATAATAATAATAATTTTCATCATAAATGAATATTTAAATAATAAAAATAAATAAATAATAATTTTCATTTTCATCATAAATGAATATTTAATGAATGAAAAATTATTATTATTATTTTTTATTTGGTAGAAGTAAGGATAATATTTTAATGAAAAATATTTTCTATTAAGAGTGATAAGTGAGAGAAAGAGACAGAGAGAGAGAGAGAAACAAACAGACAAAGAGAGAAAGATATAGAAATAGAGACAGAAAAAGAGAGAGAAACAAGAGATGAGCGAGAGATAAAAATTATTATTATTTGTTTCATATTTATTTTAATGAATAAAAATTATTATTATTTTTTTATTTAGTAGAAGTAAGGATAATATTTTCCATTAAAATAAAGTTAATTTTTTGCGGCCAATGTGGCATTTGCAGTAGTAGTAGTGGTAATAATGGAATGGCATTTGCAGTAGTGGTGAATGTGGTAGAGAAGATGGGTGGTGAGAGAGAGATGAGTGAGAGACAGATAGAGAAGAGAGATAGAGAGAGAGACAGAGACAAAGTGATGAGCGAGAGAGAGACAAAGACTGACAGACAGATAAGAGTGATGAGTGAGGGAGAGAAGAGAGGTAATATTTTGTGGTACAGAAGAGGAACCGACAGTAGTGGTGAAGGTGGTGGATAAGAGATGATGGTGGTGGTGGTGATGACGAAAGAGATTAGTGGTGAAGTTGTGGTAGTAGTAGAGTAGATGGAGTAGCATGGGTGAAAGAGAGGTAATGGTAGTGGTAGTAGTGGCAATAGTGGTAGTGGTGGTAGTGGAGTGGTAGTGATGGTAGTAGTAATGATAGTCGTAGAGGTGAAATGGCGACCGTGGTAGTAGTGGTAGTAGTGAAATGGCGTTTGCAGTAGTGGTGAAGATGGTAGAGGAGATGAGTGGTGAGAGAGAGAGATGAGTGAGAGGCACACAGAGAGAGAGAGAGAGAATAGATGAGAGAAAAGATAGATGAATGAGAGACACAGAGAGAGAGAGAAACAAATAGACAGTCAGAGAGAGAAAAGTGATGGATGAGAGAGAGAGAAAGAAAAGAGAGAGAAAATGAAAAAAAAAATAGGTGAAAAGATATAGACAAAGAGAGAGACAGAGAGAGAGAAAAAAAAAAGAGCGAAAAGAGATAAACGAGAGAGAGACAGAAAGAGATGAGCGAGAAAGCGAGAGAGAAAAAAAAAGAGAAGAGAGACAGAGAGAGAAGATAGATGAAAGAGATAGAGAGAAGAGAGATGGACGAGAGACACAGAGAAAAAGAGAGAGACAGACAGACAGACAGAGAAGAGTGATGAGTGAGAGAGAGAAAGAGAAGAGAGACAAAGACACAGAGAGAAAGAGAGAGACGGATAGACAGAGAAAAGTGATGAGTGAGAGAGAGACAGAGACAGAGAGAGACAGAGAAGAGAGACAGAGACACATAGAGAAAAGGAGAGACAGACAGACAGAGAAGAGTGATGAGTAAGAGAGGGAAAGAAAAGAGAGACAGAGACAGAGAGATAGGAAGATGAAAAAATGGATGAAAAGAGAAATGTTCAAAAGAGTAAGACGACGTCGTTTATAGTGGATCGATAAATCGAGAAGGAGCTCGATAAATAGATAAGATTGGAGTGAGAGAGTGAGCAAGGCGAACATAGTGAGGGAGAAATAGACAAATAGACAAGCAGAGAGAGAGAGAGAAAAGAGCGATGATTGAGAGAGAGACAGGGAGAGAGAAATAGACAGAAAAAGAGATAGATAGAGAAAGAGAGAGAAAGATAGAGATAGAAGGAAAGATAGAAAAAGATAGAGAAACAAGAGATGAGCGAGAGATATACAAAAAGAGAGAGAAATAGAGCGAAAAGAGATGAGCGAGAGAGAGACATAGAAAAAGAGAGAGACAGAGAGAGAAGAGAAATGGACGAGAGAGATAGAAAGATAAAAGAGAGAGAGAAAAGAAATGAGAGAGATAAAGAGAAGAGAGATGAGCGAGAGCGACAGAGAGAGAAAACAGATGAGAGAGATAGATAGAAGAGAGATAGGCGAGAGACACAGAGAGAAAATGAGAATGAGAAACAGACAGACAAAGAAAGAAGAGTGATGAGTGAAAGAGATAAAGAGAAGAGAGAGAGATAGAGACAGAGAGACATGAAGATGAAAAAATGAATGAAAAGAGAAATGTTATATCAAAAGAGTAAGAAGACATTGTTTTTTAATTTTTTTTTTGCGACAGAAAAAAGTACTAGAATTTATTCAAACCATTTTGTGACTGTATATATATGAAGCTGTCTCAAAACCACAATCACTATGCTAGGTTAGAGTTTTCCAAAAACTCTTTTTGTTGAAACGGCAAGAAAATACCGTCGCAAATGCTCTCATTTTTTGAAACGGCAAATTGTGCCGTCGCAAATGCTATGCTTTTTTGAGATGGCAAATGGTGCCGTCGCAAATACTCTGATTTTTTGAGACGGCAAGTGTGCCGTCGAAAATAGTTCCGTCTCATATACCCACTTTTCTTGTAGTGATGGTCGTTGAATATTTTAATTAACAATTCATGTAATTTTATTATTGAATAAGAGAGTAGTTAAAAATTTAATTTTTTTGTTAATTCTGTTAAAATAAAAAATTCTAACAAAAGGTATTTATAATTTTAAAAAATACATGAAGCAATCTGTATTTTAAACAAATTGCAAGAATGTATTGATAACTTACACTAGTTATTAATTTGGAGCACTATTTGAATTTGCTTTAAGAGCATATTTTAGGTAGGGAGCAACTTGCTTCCAGTCTGAGATTGGATTGAACAGTGTTGTTCGGCCTGTGGGGGTTCACCATGGGTCCCGTTTTAATAATCTGAACCGTTGAATGTATAGAACTTGTCAAGTATTATATGTCTGTAAAAAATAACGTTGATCGAATATCGATAGCTATATGATCAAATTAGTTTTGTATTTAAAAAATGGACGGTGAACAAATTAACGGTTGACAAAAAACTAATTCGATAAGATAGTTATTGATATCCGATCAATATGATTTCTACAAGAATATAGTACTCAACAAGTTCTACACATTGAACGGTTCGAATTATTAAAACAGGACCCATGGTGGGTCCCTACGGGTCGAACAGCACCATTCAATCCGATCTCAAATTGGAGGCAAGTTGCTTGCTTTTAGATATTAGACCATCTCTAATGGTTTATTTATGTCATCAAATTTAAATTTGATGCAAAAACATATATTTTTCGGCTCTAATGGTTTCACCAAATAAGTATTAAATCGGGAATATTAAAAATCTTTCACCTAATTGAAGACGTTGGGAACTTTTATCAAACCACTATTCATAGCCATTGAATTTTTACCACCGAATGACCACTTCTAGGCAAAAAATTGTGAAAAAAATACACTTGCTGGTCGACCAATATTTTGATGAAAGCTCAAAATCCTTCGTTGAAATACTTGATATCAAATGGAATTTTTACTTAAATTTGGTATAAAAAAAAAATACACGGTTAGAGATGCTCTTAACAACCAATAAAAATCTCAAAATGCCAACCCCTTTTCATTTATGGGTTGTTTGAGAAGATGGTTTTGTTAAAATAACTCATTAAAAGACAAAAATAAATTAAAATAGTTGATAAAATAAAATATCACATTAAATTCATAATCATTTTACTTTTTTTCCTCGCAACCATTGAGTGTTCGTTTGGCTAACAATTTGGGACTAAAAAAGCACAAATAGACAAAATAAGTTATATAAGCCAATAAGAAAAAATATAATTTTTTACCGATAATCATTACATTTTTTCTCTCATAAAAGTCAAAAAAGTCCCAAACAAAAACCAAATAAGGCTAAAAAAATTAACTATATTAACCAATGCCAAATGACCCTCATCAACTATTAAAAAAAAACCAACCAACTTCTTAAATACAAAATTTTTAATCAAATTAAAATTAAAAAAATAAATAACTAATTAAAATAGCTACCTTCCCAAACAAAACCATAAAACCTGCTAACATGGATATGGTTAGAAATACAGTCATGATAGAGACCACTAATTTGGTGGCTCTAATCCACCACAAATGAGGTGGAAAAGGCAAAAAAAAAAAAAAAATACACAAGCACAACACAAACTGTGACAATAAGTGAAACCCACTACCACATTATTAGTGGTAGCTTTAATTAGAACTCCCCCTCATTTTCCTTAAAAATATTCGAAGTGATGAGATCGCCTTGCAAATGCCCACGCTATCCAACTGGGATGAGGGGTCACTGCAGTGGTGTAACAACCCTCACCACTGTTCACCGATAAACTACTGATTACTGCTAAACTGAGACTGATTATGATAAGTAATTGAACTGATTGAAATACTGAACTGGCTGACTGAAATCTGAAACTGATTGATTGAATATATCTGTTTGAATTGCATTTCTATCTGTTGCCTGTTTGATTATCTGTTTATGTTTTTATGTTTGAACTGCAAATTGAAGGCCGAACCGAAAATTGATTAGTGTTTTACGATTATCATAATTTATATGATTTTGTGGTGTATTTATCTGAAATTTGATTTGGTATGGTTTAATTAGATTAAAATGAGCTTAATCCCATAAGTTGCATTATCTACCATTTTGCCATGCCTAGTGGCCCACTAACTAAACACCTTATGCTTCATACACACTTGACCAAAACATCTTCTTCAGCCATTTTTGAGAGATATAGCCGACTAGAGTGAGAGAGTGAGAGGATAAGAGTGTTTTCAACTCGATTTTGTGGATTGGCTTGAAGAACTTGAAGTATAGATTGGAAATTGAGCTCCCTTATCTTGCAATGGAGACTTAAGGTAGTATAATTACCCTCTTGTTTATGATTTGAGCTTGTTCTTACAT